TTTTCCTAGAAAAGATCAGTGTGATGAGTTATGTAAGAAGACCATATTATACACATCACTTAATGATAATACTAGAAATAAAGAGGACACGCAGGATAGAGATTAGAGCTCTGTGACATTTTGTAAGAGTTTAGGTGTGATGTTTATTTTGTAGTAGCTAAAATTTCAAATCTCAATGTGAAAAATGTGATTCAAAAAAAACACCCCAAGAGGGCCTCCCCGGTGGCGCAGCGGTTGAGCGCTGGGTTGCGAAGCTGCCCGCAGCCTATGCGGCGCCGGTTCGATCCCCGGCTGCTCCCCGGCCACCAGAGGAGGGTCCCATATGGCGTGCAGACCTCTCCTGCTGCCCGCTGCTCCCCTCAGCAGTGTATCTCAGTCTGCCTGCTCTGCTCTCCGCTCTGGCTCTGGTAAATTCTCTCACCCTGACGCGCTTCTGACTGTACCCAGTCAGACAAACAAATAAATAAATAAATCTTTAAAAAAAAAAAATTCTGACCTTTAAAAAAAAACACCCCAAGAAATACAGCACTGTAACATTAAAATATTTGATACAACCATATAGCTACTCTCAATTCCTTTTTATTCATTACCTGAAACCCTTCAAATGAATATGCTAGATTCAGACCATGGGACAATGGAGGTTGATGACCTGTTATAGCAGGTATAACAAAATATAATATGTATATTTCAAAAGAAATAGTTTTTATTTTCCTAGGTTACTTAACAGTGTTATCTCTGCACAATCTACAAGAACTGTGGAATGAAATGAATTTTCAGGTACTTGGAGAGAAAGGGTAGGGAAGACTCTCAACAGTAAACTTAACACTCATCATTTATGTATTATTTGTTCCTTCAGTATTTTAGCTTACTGTAAGGGCAGGAATGGGCACAGTGCAGGTTTTCTATGATCCCATGGGCAGACGGGGTAAAGGAGGAAAGAGTCCTGGAGTCCTCAGTGGCTTTTGCAGGTTTTTTATTGATTTACCAGGCACATGGCAGGCAGGGGTGCTTTGGGGCCGGGAGGCTGGCAGTCCTCCCAGCCCCCAGCAAGTCTTCACTCTATCTGGGCTCTCCGGCATTCTCTGGTGGCCTTGTTCTCGTGGTTCTTCTGCTTCTGCTTCTCTGCTTCCTCTGGCTTCTGCTGGCATTCCCACAACACCACCCCTAAAAGCCCAGACTCAGCCCAGGTGAATCCCATCTACCTATGCCCACACCCCATTCCAGGTGCCCGCCATCAGGCATGCATTCAGGACCACAGGGTTCCATCATCAATTCTAATGGATGGAGGGCAGAAAAGCCTGATACTTTTTACCTTACCTACACTTACAAAGTGTTCAAAATAATGAAAAGACTGAACTTCTCTGACAGTCTTACACTAGCGTAACCTCTATTGAATAGGCCTGTTCCAGTGGGAAGATATCCAGTAGGTAGAGGAATGGAAGCCAACTATAGCCCTAAGAATTTGAAACTGAATCAGTTTTACAAAATCAGCAACAGAAGTTGAAAAAGATTTAAATTTGTCTTCAAGTTAATGAAGTTATTAAGTAAGCAGAACCTTAAGGATAGGTATAAGAATTCAGGATTGAAGTTGAAAAGTGGTTCATTATTTAAATATTCAAGAACTTATTTTTTTTAAACAAAGCATGCATTAAGTGACTGGCAGCCTTAAAGAAGAATAAGATACTGTCCTTGAAAGTTTCAGTGAGGCCCATACTTTCTTCCATCTTTTAATTGATGCAGTAATGCTTATTAATTGAAGGACCTCCATGTTTTCAATTGTGACCTTCCTTCAGATGATTCTTCATTAAACTTATACTCAGCTATTGATAGTTTCCTGAAAACTAGCAGAACTGTAGTCAACAGTAACAACTCTAGAATTAAGGTATCTAGATCTAAGTCATAGAAGTTACATTAAATTAACTGTGAGACCTTGATATTTATGCTGTCAAAGTCTCAATATCTCCATTTGTAAAATGGGAATAAGAACAGTACCTACCTCAAGAGTAACAAAAAAGAGGGGCCTCCCTGGTGGCGCAAGGGGTTAAGGACTGTACTATGAAGCAATCTGCAACCTCTGCAGCACAAGTTCAATCCCCCGTTGGCTAGGGAGCAACCCACATGGCGTAGCAGACCTCTCCTGTCTCGCCCGCTGCTCCCCTTAGCAGTGTATTTCAGTGGATCTGCCTGTTTTGTTCCCCACTCTGTCTCGGGTGAATCCTCTCACCCCCCAGCCCCCGCATCTCTGGCCTGTACCCCAGCTCTTGTATGCATAAATAAATAAATCTTTAAAAAAAGGAGTAACTAAAAGAATTCCATGAGATAAAGAAAATGCAGCAACAAAGCCCTAGGTTGTAAATAGAACTTAACACAACGTTAGCTGTCTTTTCTATCAAGATCCTTCAATCCCTCTAATTCCTGAATTTCAAAATTGTCTGTTACTTTCTACTGTGTTTTTCCATTTTCCAGTCCATCACCATTTACTGACAAATCTTCTTCTGAAGCATTTAATATTAAACTTTCTTCTCAATTTCTATTTCTCACTGACATCTGTTCCTAATATTTACAGAAGCTAGGGCAAGAGTTACAGAGGCCCAGCTATAATGTTTCTAAATTTGTAAAAAGTATAAATCAACCTATTAACTGTTAAATAAAACATTTTACCCTCCTACCCTGAAAAAAACATTCTTTCAAAATGACCTAGAAGACCAGGTTTAAATTTAGACTTCTCTGACACTTCTGGATTCCAGGCTGAAAGTCTGATCAACAGGGGAACAGGCACACAGATTTGGACTGCTGGACCCCACTTTCAGCCATGTCCCACTTATTTTACCCACCTCCACAACTTTGTGAATTCTCTCTCCACCACCATGCATTAATTGCTGACTTTTGATTGAGAGTCTGGTCATTGATCGAGGATACCTCAAATGCTCCCTTCTCCAAATTGCCCTTGAGCCACATATCAAGAGGTTCTTTAAAAAAAAAAAAAAAAAAAAAAAAGCCTCTGGCCTCTACCCAGAACCAAGCACAAAGTATAATGAGAGAGCAGACACAGTTAATTTTTAAAGCTCTGCTGTTGTAGTGTTTATGCTGATGTGCAGCCCTGGTTGATGAAAAGGGATATTATAAATTCTGGGGTGGGGGACAGACGGGCAAGGTACTCAACACATGTACTCAACACATTCTTTTGAATTGAGTTTAAGATGATACGTGCTTTCCCTCCTGAAAAATACTTACTGGCACACAGCTTTGCACAGAGCCCCTGTTACTGAAATAATTCTCTAGCACTGAAGCATGATGGTAACATTTGCTCTAGAATTATGCAAAAGGAGACGTACAAGAAATTAATCTTATAGTCTGGATCAAATTGTCTTTTTTTTAAGTCTATCTCTAGATTCATTTTGTACAGTGCATCTTATTAACAACACAATGTACTTTTTAAAGTTATGGTCAGTGTGTTTTTCCTAAAATCTAGCACAGTATCTGGCCTAGATTGGGCATGAAATTACAAGTTTGGTTAATAGATGAATGAATGAGCAAATGTGAATAGAAAATTTCAAGCTAGTAGAATTTCAGAAATTATTTTAGATATTAAGTAGGCTAAATAATAAACCTTTAAAAGATTTCCACATCCTGGGGCCTTCCCTGGTGGCGCAGCGGTTGAGCGCTGGGCTGTGAAGCTGCCTGCAGCCTCCGTAGCACCGGTTTGATCCCCGGACCCGGGCGTGGGTCCCACATGGCGCGACAGACCTCTCTTGCCACATCCGCTGCTTCCTATAGCAGTGTACTTCGGTCCTTCTGCCTGTTCTGCTCCCCACTCTGGCTCTGGTGAATTCTCTCACCCGCCCACGCTTCTGACTGTGACCAGTGCTTATATAAATAAATAACTAAATTAAAAAAAAAGGCAGCAAGAAAAAAACAAAGGATCAGGGGAAAACTAATAAATAAATAAATAAATAAAATTAACAAAAAAAATAAAATTAACAAAAAAAATTAATAAACGATTTCCACATCCTTATTTCTGCCATTTGTGTATATTAACTCATATGAGGAAAAAGTCTTTGAAAATGTGAGCTGGAGAGATTATACTTACAACAGGAGGCAAAGGGAGCTTTGGCATAGAGGAAAAGTCAGCTTGATCAGGAGGCAGAGATAAAGGTGACAACACCACAAACTAAGAAGGCTAGTAGCCACCAGATGCTGGAAGATGCAACGAGCAGACTCTCCCCTAGAGCCTCTATCAGGAGCACCTCTCCAGTAGCACCTTGATTTCAGTCCAGTAAAACTGATATTGGACATTGGGCTTCCAGAACTGAGAGAACAAACTTCTGTTGTTTTAAGTCATCATGTTTTTGGTAATTTGTACAGAAGCCATAGAACAGTAATACAAGATCAAAAATTGATATCCAGAGAGGCAAAACGCAACTTGTCCAAAGTCCCCAAAGTTGTCAGTGAGAGCTGGGTTTCTAATAGAGATTTACTGACTCTTTCCAGTACTTAGCATTTTACTATGCTGCAAGTATATATTATACACCCCATGGAGAACTCTAACTCTTTATCTAAATCTGGGTAGCAAATACAACCCTTCCTGTGGCCATTAGAGAAAAACTAAAAACTGATAAATCCCTCATACTGACCAATTTTATCAGTGACGTATCTCATGTGGCCAAAAAAAAGAGATTTTTTGACAAAAATAAAAAGGTCTGGAAAGATAATGAAAGGTACAGAAAGATAACCCAAGCAAACACTTTCATTAAGTCATATATAATCAATGTACAACAGCATATGTCCATAGGGTGGGGTAGGAGTGCTCCTGAGAAATGCTGGCATGAAAAATGTGCAAAAACACAGCAAAAAGGTGAAGTGATGCCACAAAATCTTCACTATTAGTGGAGGGATAAAGTAGAGAGGTAGCATATAATTAAAAAACGGAATGTCGCAATTCCATTTGCTCAAAAGTTAGTAAAGTTGGGACAGAGAGAAAATTGGAAATTGTGAAAAACCTGGAAATGATGTTCTTTCTCATCAATGTAGGAAGAGCTATAGACATCAGTTTGCAGTGACATTCACAAAAGCATCGTTACAGGTCCTAGTTAAGAAAAAAAAAATGCAGTATTATGTGCAAAAATTCTAAATAACACTAGATCCTTTACTACCTCTTTTTTTTTTTTACAATTATAGCTTTTATGTAGAATACAATAAATTCACATTGTATTTTTCATAAGGAAGATGGGACATCAGGAAATTACAGATCCCTAACAGTTAACGCTTGTTTCCAGAGCCTATTTTTAAGCTCTTGGACTTTTACTAATAAATTTAAATAAACTTTTGTATAACTTGTAATTAATAGGTAAATATGGTAACAAAGTATTTAAGTCAAGAGATATGGGTTTAGTTAGACTTGACGACTATGAAAATTTTTTTCATAGATTTTTTCCATAGAGTAGAGAATAATGAATATAAAGAAAGCAGAAGCAAAAAGATGAAACCGCCTCACCTCATCTATTGATTAAGAATATACAATCACAACAGGATGTAAACATTTCCTTAATGATCCTACAATTATAACAAGCACAAAAACAATCCAACCTTAACATGTCCCAATTCCCAAAGGACCTCAAGTTTACCTTGTAGTTGAAGAATTAGTCACTCATTTAGATTGGGGCAAATCCCCAAGGATTCAGAGAGTTTGTGATCAACTAATGGTTTCTGGTGTTACTGTCAGTGGATATTATCCCACAGGAGGCTGGATCATTGCATCATTCAGGGTAAAGACATACTTGTTATGTGTATGACAAACAAAAGCCTACCCAAAGAGGTTCCCCAAAGAGTTTTGCATAAATGACATGCAGTGCCTGTCTGTTCCACATCTGTTCTTTCCATGATCTCTTTTAAAATGAATTTTCTGGGCAGGTAGGAAGAAACCCCATTCAACTACATAATATCAAAGTAAGAGAAAACTTTGTTCATCAAATATCATACAATAATGTCAAAAAATGAAACCAAAGCACATATTTAAAGGAGACATACAGAAAGTTTAAGATCTTAATTGAGTCTTTAAGACTTATAGTAAAATGTTCATAAGCACATAATTTCAGATAAAAGGAACTGAAAGTACATATAGATTAAAAAGTCATAAATTTTAAACCATTTGATTTCTTGTATTCACATTTTAATGTAGGTCCTCAGAAACCTAGCATATTAAGTAAAATATATCCAAAAATGCATCAATTTTTAATAGTTTACAAGAACGTTGAATTAATGAATTTTAAAGTAACTTGGAGCAATTTCCTACTAAACTGTAATTCAAAATCCTTTTAATTTTTTCCTCTATTCTCAACTACAACATATAGTTTTCTATGGGGAAGAGGATAGCTTATAAGTACTGGAACAAGAAGAACTCCTAGTCTTAAAAGGAAAAGGGTTGTTTTCTACCATGGTGCTAGCTATTGCAGTTCCAAATTTAGAAAAATTTTCCACATTTAGGGACTTAGCACGCCACTACAAGTCCTGCAAACATCAACCGCCCTATTGCAATGTTTACTGTTCAAGGAATACACAAGCCACCCTACAAAGAGAAAAAAAACATTTCAGTGGGAGCAATAAATAGAGGCAAAGAACATGTCAAAACTGTCATACAGAAGTGGGAAAAAAAAACAACAGAACGTTAAGAAATGAGCTAATAGCAGGAAACAAAGGGAATGAACCCAATTTACAACAGAAATCAAGCAGCACGGTTTTGTTCAGGTATTTTTAACTGCCTCCCCATCCTCCACTAGCAACAGCCTCCTTACAAAATATTCTTTGTTCTTCACCTTTTTGCTCCTTTTATATATTAGGTATATAGTTAAGTATATTACTTAACTAAGCAACTATCCATGAGTAAAATAATCAATTGTTTTAATTGATACCAAAAAAAAATTTAGAAAGATGTTCCTGCTCTCAAAAAGTTTATAGTCTATCACTAATCTTTTACTAACATTAACTCCAGCACAGGAAGTAGGCTCCATAATTGACAGTTAACTAACAGTGTCAGAGGAGTCCAAGGTCACCCAGGAAGGTGTCAGAGAAGAATGGAATTGGGGTCAGGTCTTCAGTATAAGAAATTTCTCAAAAACTAGGGGAAAGTAGGGTGGCGGTATGGGAACCTGGTGGTGGGAGGCTGTGGGGAGAGGACACTCCCAGCAGTGAGAATAGTGCATGTTAAAGTCTGCAGGCAGGAAAACAGGACCTGGGAAGTGACTCAGCTCCATGTTAAGGATTCACTGAGGGGAAAAGGATAACAAATCTGAAAAGAGTACTGGGTCCTTGTGTACCTCAGGAAGAGTCATGGGATGCTATGATATGTCTTAAACAGGGCACAATAAAATTCACCCTTTAGAATGAAAGACTTTTAATGCCATAGTAGAAAATACACTTGCTACCAGGAAAACAGACAAATCTGTTCCTCTTCTAGTAACTTTACAGAATGTAAGTATACATACTAAGGTTATTTATCCAGTTTTCCTTCCTCTATTTCCTTTCCACCTCATTTCACTTTTTTAAAATGTACTATATAGATTCAAAATTCTTTTTTGAGTCAGGCAGAATAAAAGAAAAATGAAGGAAACTGAGAAAGGTAGGAGGACAAATGGATAGGTGGACTATCAGATTTCCCAATAAAAGGGGAAATGAATTCTACTTGGACATATTTTATTTTTTTTTAAGATTTATTTATTTATATGAGAACTGGAGTACAGTCAGAGGTGCGGGAGGGTGAGAGAATTCACCAGAGACAGAGCGGGGAGCAGAACAGGCAGAAAGACCAAAGACTGCTGAGGGGAGCAGGGGGCGAGGCAGGAGAAGTCTGCTGTGCCATGTGGGATTCACACCAGCCGGCCGGGAATCAAACCCGTACTGCAGAGGCTGCAGACAGCTTCACAGCGCTGCGCTCAAACCCCTGCACCACCAGGGAGGCCCTGTACATACTTTATTGAAATTCAGAGACCCAATAGCACATTGACCACAAGTTATGGTATGTGTTACTTTTCCTCTTCCTGAGGAAATCCTGGCTTCCTGACTTTTTCCACTAATTTATAGACTCTCGTTGAGACACTACTTACTACCTTTAAAATCTGCTTTCTAATTTATTTCACATTAAGCATGTCAAAATCAGATACATTCAATTCTCCATTATAACAATGAAGCACCATAATGCAGGCACAAAGATATGCATCCATTTCAAAATAATAGAAAACCAATAAAGAAGAATTTTCATTGCTATATCCTATGATTTTCTGAAGTAATTTTAAAAATATCTTTAATTATAATACTTGCTTCAATACAATGCATAATGAGAGGAAATAGGACTTCAGGAAGAATTATTTCACAATTACTGGGTTAATCATGCATTTCAACAGACAGTGCACCTTAAATGATAGTAATATTCCCAAAATGTTCAGATTCATGAACACACTGGGCAGACATTTGGGATCCCAGCAACAAACCAAGTAATTATGATGACTTATTTTTTTCACTCAAATAGATATTTTAAAAGGAAATGCTCAGGATAAAGTTTTGGCCTTACCCAACTTGAATAAAGGTCCTAGATCTCTAGAAAGCACTCAAAATCGTAAGGCCAAAAATACAGCCTTTCCAGTGACAGTAGCCCAAGATGTCACAAGCTTTTATTAAATGTGCTTATATCCCCAAAGAGTGCAAACCTCATAACTACTTTTTACTTATTAAAGATTTGTTCATCTGACATTTCATCATTTCTTTCTGAGGAACAATTTCCTCTGAGATGGAAGATGAGAGATGAGGACCTACATATGTGCTACTATGATTATCTGCCCTCTCAGGACTCACAGAATTCCAAAGAGGGTGATATTACTGTAGCAAATTCCAACTCCAAACAAAACTCTCCGACTCAGAATTGCCAGTGGAACTATAACACCAATATGAAGAGAAAGTCTTCAAGTGAAGAGTCTGGGAGAAAAGGTAATTATACAGTGCTCTCTGAAGGGCAACTATCTATCATAAGAGAAAGGAGTCTGGTATAATTAAATGTCAGAAGCTATCATGAAAAAGACTTAAAACAATTTCACAGACTATCCTGGAGTTTTTCCATTTCCTGTAAATAGACTATTTTAAAGAAAACACAAATCAACACATGGACATGCATTGATGAAATTTACTTATGATAATTTGCAAGGACAAGAAAGGGAAACCAAAGGCCATAATAATACTTTGGTCTATTGGCAATTCAGATTTTTGTAAATCTATCTATAACAAAGACAAAAAGAACCAAGAAAATGGGGTAATGGGAAACAATTAAAATGTAATTACAATATGTGAGAAAAAACACATATATTTTGCTCATAAAAGAAAAACTTAGCACATTTCCTCAGAAGTTAGAGAACCTATTCCTATCATAGTAACAATTTTATTTAACATTCTCAAAAGATGTGAGATAAAAATTAAGAAATATACAGAAAACCATAGAAAATAAAACATTTGAGTGTTATTAAGGGAAGGTTATATGCCCCATATTCCTCAGTAAGCCCTGAGAGTTAATGTAGTATTACAATACAATCATACATGTGCACACAGCACCTATACATAGGTGCACACACACACACACACATACACACACAGTTTTAGTATTCTTAAGGACAAACCCTGAAATATGAAGAGAGAAATTCTCTAAAGGCCCCACATAATGTTATAGACAAAAGGCGACTGTCCATGAACCAGATGCAACAGAATCTTCAGAAAATAGAACAGAGCACTAATTTTTATTGGTTCATGAAAAGATGAGTGGAATATAAAAATTTATCAGTGATTGTATATTAGCCTAGATTTGCATCATAACATTTAAAACTACGAAAGTGTTTAAAAATGTAATGTCAACATGCAATAAGGAGCAAACATAAAAATTGGGAATATTAACTTTAAAGTATTTCTTCCTCAGTATGTATGCAACTATAATTTCAGATAAACTTACATAACTTTTATATACTAAATTAAGGACACATAATATTCTACATAATATATTGTATTCTCATTTCCTGGAGAGTTTCCACCAATAAGAATTTGAATTTTCATAAA